ATCGTGAAGTTAGAAGTCAAATTACATCTGGTCGAACCTTTACAGTAAACTTTGACGAAGGAAAGAACAAAGAAGGCTTCATGGGAGTACTTGCTGCCATTACAAGACGGAAATAAGAAAGGACACAATCTCAGATTGACCATAACAGATTTGGATGGTCACATTTACTATGCACATGGCAATGAACAAACAGCCGCAAAACTTCTTGACGCTTTCAAGACTACAAAGAGAGAACAAATGGTTGACTCCGACTCAGACATTTTGAATGCAATTGAAGGAATTGCAAGTGTCAAGTTCGAATGGACCAACCTAACCCTCAAGCAGTCAGACAAACATGCTGGATACTTCCCGTTCATAAATAAGTCTGACATTGACTTGACAAGGATGGAATTTACAATTCAATTGAAACAATTGTCAATGAACCTTGCATTCTTACATGTCTCAGGAACTCTGGTCTTGTTACAGATGAGAAGATGAAGTATCTTGAGTCATGTGTGAAGACAAGGTACATTCTCAGAGGTCAATTGGCAAAAAATTGCACCGTTGGCAAATGTCAATATCCGAGTCAACATACCTACAGCTAAAGGTTCTTCACATGACGACTATGTTGTTGACAAAGACTTACCATGGTTGAAGATTGTAATTGTCCACAACCACTTCATGTTGAACGAAAGTCTTACAAACCCATTCTTTGGTAAAAGTAAGTGCAACATTGTCAGAGCTGTAAACATTCTTTTCGAGAAAGGTTTGTTGAACCAATTCCAGATGACAAGCTGACAGAAACTTTTGTACCAAAAGACGAAACAAACTTTTCATTGTTAGCAAGACCAAAAGTTGTTCCAGACAAAGTTCTAGTACAAAAGAAGTACACAGTTCCACAAGGGGTTGGTATGTTCGGATACCAAACCTGAACCAGAAGAACTTCCAATGAGGTTGCAAGAACTTCAAGATGCTATAAACAAACTTCCATTGAGACATCCAATTGACGTCAAATTGTATTGGAGAGCATCTGAGTTAGGTTCAGAAGGTTTTATATGAAACAGGTTGCTTCGACGATGTTTATAGATAACAGGAGAAGTTTCTCAGAAGATAAGAGACTCACTTGAATTCCACAAACTGGACCAATTGGTTGCGACAAGTTCGACTCAGATGAAAAGATATACTATGTCGACCTTAACGCTGCATACATGAGTTTGTCCAATATATTCCGACTGGAATTCCAAACGAAGATGGTGAGTTCCCGGGAAGGAACTATACAGTTGGAAAAGTCATACAACAACTGTATGATATTAGGAAAGCTTCAAACCCCAAACTTGCAATGACACTCAAATTGCTTATGAATTCGACATGGGATATTCCATTAAGAAACCTCAAGAGATGAAGAGTAAACATTATGAGAAGGTCGACAACTTTGTTGAAAGGTTTTCTCCTTTTGTTTTGAAGTACGAATTCACTCAAGGTCAAAGTGGCTTAGTAACCACATTAAAACATATTGTCGAACATTGGTCTTACCCTCAGTTCGCAAAAGCAGTCCTTGACGAGTACAACAAATTCTTCTCCGAAGTCAAATCGAAAGTCAAGGTTTACTATGAGAACATTGACGCACTCATGACGAACGAAGAAGGCTATAACAAACTCATTGAAATGGGTTTAGTCGGTGAAAGATGGGTCAATTCAAATTGGACAAAATTTTCACCGAAGTTCATGTCCTCTCCAAGCGTAAGTACTGGGGTGTTAAAGAAGATGGTGAAATAGTTAAACATTGCATGAAATAAAAATTTATTTTTAAAAAAGTGACATTTTTTTAATGGCGTTACATCCCTGAGCGCTTCGTCCAGTTCAACCAAATGTTGGTCTCGGACCCAGGCAAGAGATATTCCAAGCCCGAACTCGACCGTCTCTTCAAAGAATGGATTGAAGACTACAGAGGAGACGAGTGGTTGACAATTGAATTTGCTCGGGCTTGGAATTGCTACAGAAGGGTCTTAGACGTGGACCCAAGACTCACGTACAGAGGTTGGGATGTGGTCTTCACATTCCAAATTGGTACGAATACCAAAAAATAAAAACTTAAATTTACTTGGGTTTCCCCCTAAAATAATTTTTTTACTCTTAGAACCACTCGAGGTTCTCCTTACGGTTGTTGAGCTTGTCACCGTCAATGTGTCTGACCTTCGTCTTCTTGTCTGGATTTGGAACCCATTGAATTGCGACAAGCTTGCCCATGGAGATTGAACCGCGATTCCGAAGGTTAAGGTTCAAGTGTCCCAAGTTGTTGAGGACTGGGGTAAGAACCTTGCCTGTCTCCTTGTTGCGGATTGGTATGGGTAGGGTTGGGAAATTTCGTAACCGTCATCGGCAAAAGGGTTGCCCAAGCTCCTCTTCTTCGTGTTTCTCTTCTTCCTCTTCTTCCTCTTCTTCCTCGACAATTCCTCCTTCAATTTGGTACTCACGAAGTACGGTGTTGCATGTTCTGTCCTTTCCGAGTACCTTCCAGATGGCGTCTATCTCTTCGAAGAAACGGTAGATGAGTCTGGCAAGGTCTCGGTTCTCTCTCTCGTAATTGCGCAACGATTTCTGAGAAATCGTTCAGGATTTCTCATTGGAAGCTTGGTTCATGAGGACATCGGCTTTGAGATTGGTCATCTCTGTCATAAGACTACTTTGGAGAGTCTTAATGGTGTTTGTCAGATGAGCTTTCAATTGGGCAATTTGAATTTGAATTGGGCGCTTGTCTGGCAACCTTGAAAGGACATCTGCCATTGTGTTCGGCTTCGGTGCTTGTTCGGACATCGAAAAAATGAAGTGGTTTGAGAATGACGGTTTTACTTCAAAAAGCTGGTTATGACAGTTAAGTCATACAACAAGTTTAAAATAATATCTTGCTCTTCTTCTGAACGTTTGTTGTCTCTTCCGATAAAAGTTTCGAACATGAGAACCAAAAAACGTTTTTTGAGGAACCAAAAGAGTTCAGGCAAATTTTCATATTCTGGATATGTTGGGAGCAGTTCAAAACATCTGAGCTGACTTTCGGACAAAATTGGGACAATGTCAGAAAATTCATCTTTGGTCGGACTGCTTGAAGGTAAGTCCCTTACATGTAAGTAGCTCTGGTAAAGTCTTCTCATTTCTGCTAACTTTTGGAGTATAGCTTCGTAGTTTAGAAGTTTCAATTTTAATTGTCTTATTCCACTCTTTACTTCTAAACGGTAAGTATCCATGAGGTCAAGAGTAGCTTTGGTAGCTTTAAGTGGAGCTATCTCTTCTTTGACTTGTGCAATTTTGGTTGCAATTGTGGTTTGAGCTCCTTCAAGTTCGCCGTCTATGTCGTTCTCAACGCCTTCAACCATGGCTTGAAACTCTTCATCGGTCCATTGAGATTGGTGTGGGACGAATTTAACTTGCTTCATTCAAAAAATGAAAAAAATGTTTTTACTCTAAACGTGCCATGTATATGGCTATAAGTGCTTTGTTATATGACTTCTTCTTCACATGAGTCTTTGGCAACTTGAGAGTTCTTGTTGGAGTTGGGTCTGGAATTTCAATTCTCTCTCGAGCGCAACAACAGATGTCAGAATAACATTCCCCACTGTCCTTCTTGCCACCATAAACTGTGTATTGACCGAACTTGCATTTACAGGAAGACCGGTCAATACAAGGTTCACAGTTGAAATAGTTGTACTCATACCTGGTGAGTACGAGTGTGAGTAAAAACATAAAAAAAGTGAGTTAAAATGAGATGTTTACTGAACTGGCTGAATGTCGCCTTCACAGGTTATGTAGAACGGCTGACCAGAGAAGTGAAGGAGACCCTTGAGAATTTGGTTCATTCTTGGGAAAGGGTTCTCTCTGTTTGGAAGTAGTATCCAAGGACGCTTGGCAAAGAACTTTATAATGGCTTCCTTCTTTGCTTGCTTTATGTCGTCGAAGGCTGTCCCGTCTGGTATTTGAATTGGAATTCCAGTCGAAGTCTCGAGATTCAAGGCAGCCCTTCCCGTTATCCAACCGTTAACAAGCTTGCCTTTTACATTCTGCCTGAGGAAGTCTTTAACAAGCTCGTTAAGTTCAATTAGGTAAATTGCCTCGTCGGTAGGTTCGACCTCGACCATTGCTACTGTCAGTAAAAGTACTGCTACTGTCAGAAAAAGTACTGCTACTGTCAGAAAAAGTACTGCTACTGTCAGTAAAAGTACTGCTAGTAGCAGTAAAAAGGAAAATTTGAGAGGGTTTTCGACGATAAAGTACTGCTTCTGTCAGTAAAAGTACTGCTACTGTCAGTAAAAGTACTGCTAGTAGCAGAGATTTTTATCGTTGTGGTCCGACGGTTAAGCCACAAACGAATGTCCAACGTCCCACCAACCGAGTCCATTCCCAAACCAGAGGAACCTAAAGAACCACAACAGTCTCCTCAGCAACCTCAGTTCCAGCAAGTACCTCCGAATTACTACCAATTTCCACCTCAAGGTTACTACCCACCACAAGGCTTCCCGAACTACCCTCCTCAACCTATGCCTTCCTTCCCCAACCCATGGATGTTCCAGCAAGCTCCACCCCGGCAATTCCAATCTCAATCTCAATCGAAGAGAGACCAAGACTTCGAAGAAGGTCTGAACCGCTTACGCAAAGAGTATGCTACAGCTCCAATGGAAGACGACAGGCTTTCAGTCTCTTCCCTCAAATCGACCGATTCGACTCGTACCACAGATTCGGTCAAAGACAGAAACGACTACCTCAAGCAGTCTGAGAGACTCTTCATCTACAGCCATTTACAGTTGGAGCTCTCAAGAACATGCGCAATTACGAAGGTCAGACACCAGCTGGAGACCGCAAAACAGACGTACTCGCAAGAGCCGTCCAGCTCGTCAAAACAAAGACGGAGATAGTCGACTTCATACTTGCAGCTTGCCCTTACAAGTAAAAAAATAAACAATTACGAATTAAACTTTTTACTCTTTCTTTTCTGAGTTGTTTAGAGCTGGTTTCTCTTGTAGAAACCTTTCTTACTCTTCCATGGTCATGTAATTGCGAATTTGGTACGCAATTCCAGGTTCGTTGTTTTTGAACCTGATGTATGTAACGCTTCCATCCTCCTCAGGGAAGTAAGCTGCTAACATCTGACCAAGTTTTCTCGGTGACTCGGAGCTCATAAAAATGTCATTTTTAAACGTTAAGTTTTTAGTCTTAATTTACCCTTTGTTTGTCAAGGTAGTATTGGAGTGCAATTTCTCCAAATTCTCTGTGTCGGAGTTCTTCAGCATTTTCCAAGGTGTACCTGGAGAACTCAAAGAAGTTGTCAAGAACATACTGCCATGCTGCTCTTCTGAGTTCGTCGGTATTTTGGAAGTGTTGCACCTTCGAGTCTTCGGACATGAAAAAAATGACACTTTTTCTATTAAACCGTTTTGGCATTTCTCATGAGTGAGTATAGTTCTGCCGAACCATTGGAAGAGAAGAAGTACTCTTGCTGGCAAAAGACAAAAATAGTTGCCTTAGTTGTCATTGCAATTGTACTCGTAATTGAATTCATTGTACTTCTCTTCACGTACATAAAACTCAGCAATGGTATTTGCTTTAAGAAGCTACCATCTTACTAAGACTAAACACTTAGATTTTTCAAGCTTGACTTTTTACAATTTGAACTTTGTTTGCGTAGATATGAATTCTGAAAGAAGTATGAGGGTCTTGTATGACTTTGTACTTCTCCCATAGTTCATGTCTGTCAAACTTACCTGCCATGGACTCTTTCATAAGTTCCATGAAATCGTCTTCGGACAATCCGGGGAAAAGTATTATGTCAGTAAGTATTCTTTTAACATCCTTACTTAAACTCTTTGCTGTCTGTACACAAATGACAACTGAGATGTTAAAGTGTCTGAGCTTCTTAAGAATTCGACACATATCTTGTTCTCTGTTCTTTAACAAAGGATGAGAGGCGAAATCATCTAAGATAAGAAGACATCTATGAGGGTAAGTCTTCCAATCGTAAGATTGCAATTTCTTCGAAATGTATTCTATCTCTTTCTGTTTGTTTCTGAAGTGGTGTTTGTCTAATATTCTCTGCATTTCCTCATTAGGTTCTTTAAACTTAGAATTTATATACTCATTTATAGCATTATACTTCAAAACTCTTCTTTGGTACTTCTTTATCCAATCTAACAACTCAGTATCCTTTATACATACTAACTTAGACTTCTTTATAATATCTTTGAACGAATTGACGGTTTGGTCAAATTGACCAGAAGTACTACAAATGACTACTAACTCATAGAATGGGTTCTTCTGATCTAGTTCTTGTTGTTGTGCAGCCATTTTAAGATAAGTGAAAGTCTTACCAGACCCAGGTGGTGCAATTAGACCTGTTATACCATTCTGAGCAAATAAGAACTTTTCATGTATAGGCTTTATCTGAGCATTTTCTAACTTCCTCTTGTTCTTGTTTAAAACATTCTCAAATTTCTTGTCAATGTCAGCAAACTTTTTTTCTAACATATTTTTAGAAAAATTAAAATTTTTATCTTTTAGAAAATGTCTAGCGATTTCGCTATCTATATTCGAGACAAACTTTTGACAGCAAAACATCTGTCGACCATAAAATCTTACATAGTGTAAACAAGAAAGGTGAATTTGTTCTAAAGTTCTGTTTCTGGGAATATGACAAGAACCATAAAACATTACAAAGAGCAGTCTTAAAATTTGTCAATGACAGACTTGTTGACAGAGATGACGCCGATTGGAAAGATGAAGTCCAACAAAAGTTCTTAGAATGCAAAGAAGACACATGCGCTGTTCTTGAAGATGAAATAGAAAACAGAATAGATGAGCTATTAAAGGACAAAGAAATTTTACATAAATATGGTTCTGAGAAATTTGACATATCTCCACCAGAGAAGAAGAAGAAAGAAAAGAAAGAGAAAAAAGTAGAAGAGAAGAAAGAACCTGAACCAGTTCCAGAGAAAAAGAAATTTGACATGTAAAAATAAAATTTTATTTTTAGAACATTTCTGGGTCAATGTCAATGTTCTCTTCCTCTTTAGGAGTAAACACTGGCTTAGACTCTAAAATCTTTTTACCCAATTTACCTTGAACTTCTACAACTTTAGACTCATAATATTCATAGTCGTCTGTCTTCTTTGGTTCATAAGGTATAACAAGTTTGTATGCTTTGCCTTCTTTAAGGTTTGAGAACCTTCTGTCAAAACTTTCTTTGACTGTTAACAAACCTTCTATGTCTAAGTCTTCAAATTTTGCACCATTTTTAGTCACAATAGCAAACTTAACTGGTTCGATGTTCCAAACTTTGCTGAATGAAGACTTTTCAAAATGGTAGAAGTAAACATTCAAATATGTGAATGGGTCTAGTTCTTCTTTAAGTCCTGACATGTACTTGTTTACTGAAATATATTTCGTCATCTTTTCTATCGGATAAAAAATATTTTTTTTAAAATTTACTCAGAAAAATTTTTCTTTGTATATACACCATTCTGTACGTCTAAAAGACTTTTGACATTTGCCAAGAATGTTCGTTTAGACGCTGGCATATAACCATACTCTTGACAATATTGTTTATATTCATCATATAAAGACTTTTCATCTAAACACTCAAAGTCGCTTTCTTCTATGAACAGTTCATATACACTCTTGTTTGCTTCTAACAATGTTTGTCTCTCTTCGGTATGTGGAATTTGTCTTGGATTGAACTTAGAAATATCTAATGTCATGAAATATGAAAACAAATGGTTGTAAAACTCAGGTGTCAAATATTCTGACAAAGCGTCAAAATATTCTGTATCTTGCATATGAGAATCTGACGTTCTGACAACTACATATCTTCTGTCAGAACTTTCTAACTTCATCGGAACAGCATTGTTTGAAACCATAATGAAGTTTGCAACATTTTCACAAACTCTTTGGTCTTTATACTTTCTTTCAACAACTCCAACTTTGTCTGTTATAAGACTCTTCAAAGCATCTGAGTTCAAAACTTTTGTTGTATCTATACTTTGAAGTTCATTGCAAACTATAAGTTTCATATTCTCTATTGAGGAGTTAAACTTGCCACAGATGTTTTCTAAGTTTGTCATATTCGGATTCGAATAACCTTCTAACAGTTTGCACAAAATATCTGTAAAGAAAGTATTCTTACCAGTTCCTTGTTTTCCAATTATAATGAGAGCAGTTTCATTTTTAGCACTTGGATGTTGTAAGATGTTTGCAAACCAACATAAGATATACTCATAAACCTTTTCGTTTCCATTGCATATAATTTCTTTGACATGGTCTAACCAAGCTTCTATAATATTTTCTTTCCATTCTACTTGTTCATATTTATATCCAGTGAAGATAGAATAGAAGTTTGGAGAAGGTGTATAAAACTTTATACCTCGAACTGAAAAATCTTCTAACTTTGACAATAAGATATCCCAAGCATCTAACATCTTCATGCCAACTTGTACGACTTTTATTTTCTTAAGTTTCTGTCTACATTCTTGTTCTGAAACTATTGTTGCTCTTGGTTTGTTAAAGACAACATCCCATTCTTTCATGACATAACATTCTGGGGCAGAGTCAACATAAATGACTAAACGTTTCAAATTCTCGACTGCTTTGTTATAGTCTCTAAATGGACACATATTTCTGAATGCTTGGAAGTCATAAAAATCTGAAACATCTATTCTGTACATTTTTATAAAAATAAAAAAAAAATTATTTTTTTATTCTTGACTTTGTTGTTCCATTTGTTGCATTTGTTGTTCTTGAGCTATTTGTTGTTGAAGTTGTTCTTGTAATACAATACTTTCACCAGTTGCATCTTCCAATTCGAAACTTTCTGCCGTCATTGACAAATACATAGGACATAAAAGTTTTACAGGAACAAAGTTTGCGTCAACTAATGTCAACGTTATACTTGCCAAAGTGTTTGAGTTCACTAAGGTTGAAAATTCTGCATTCGAATGAACAATAGGCAAACCAGCAGAGAAAGTATTGTTTATACGCATAAGTATCTTTTGGTCATAATAGTTTCTGTCGACATTCGAATAACACTTTGAACCTAAGTTTGAAACAATATATAAGATTGGTGTGCTTAATGTCAATGGAATAGACATTCCTTGTATGACACCTTTTCCTGTTATAGGAAACTGTTGGTAGTAAAAACCAGAAATAAGTTTTGTATTATAGCTCATATCGTTTATAGTAAACTCAGTCGGACATCCAAACATAATGAAACCTGCTCTAGTTGCAGCACATGTTACACCCGTACTTAAAGTATTAAATAAGTCAACAAAACCTGTTGGTGGTATATCTGAGTAAGTATCTTCAAAGGAGTATTTTTTACCATTCACAACAATAAAGTCTTCTGGTGTCAAAAGAGCAAAACAGGCTTTAGTCGTCATTGTGTTTAAGGTTAGTTTACAATATCGTCCTTGAGGACTTTGTAAGTTTGTTGTTATAGAATTATATGACTCAGGGTTTTTAGTCGTAATAGTATAAACCATTATGTCTTCTGCCATTTACTTAGCAAATAAATTTTAATGAAATGTTGTGGTCGTCAAATATTTTTATAACGTCTGGGAAACTATATTTTAAGTTCAACATTTCACCTCCTTTCATAACGTATATCTTGTCAATGACATTATATGAAACACCACAGCAACTAACGTCGGGTTCTATTTCTTTGATGTTTATATCGTCTGCCTCTGTCAAAAGTTTCAATAGTTCTTTCAAAACTTCATGAGGTGCAATGACATATGAGTTCACTTTTTACAGGGTTGTGTTCGACCAAGTTTAACATTATACCTAAAGCTTGACAAATCTTCTCCTGAGTTTGAAGTTTGTCTTTCAGTTGTTGGTAGTCATTTCGAATATCTGCAACAGAACTTAAGTCTCTGTTAATTCAGGATATGTTGGTTCTTTTACAGGAACAATTGTTATACCATCTTCGTCTTCGTATGGTTTCCCCACTTCAACATCTCTGTCTTTGACATTGACAACAACACTTTGACTGTTTGTTTGAGTTGGTGAATTTAACTTCACATCTGCCCCGCCATTAAACCTTTTGAAACACTTACGCTTCTATTTTTCGGAAATGACATTTTACTTAGAATAAAAGATGGACGTATTCGGATATCTTATTGAATTGAAGCAGAACAAAGTTTATACTCACAAACAATACAAATACATTGACAGAATAGTTCTTACACAAACAATGGAAAATGTTATAGAATAGCAGTCTTTGCTGAACCTAAATATTTCATAAAGCAAAGAAAGTTGGTATAACTGAAATGGTGAAAGTTCTTGAAGCAGAAAAAATATAACTTCAAAACTGACCGATATTACTAAAGGAAAGTTTATAATACAAATTATGTCAAAACTGGCGTACTGTCAATATTTGACGGAGAGAAGTCAGTTCAAGAACAACTTACTGACCTGCTGCCAAAATCTGCTCGATGGAAGCTGTCGTTATGCCAATCTGAGGAGCCCCAGCAGTTTCATCGAACGAATCTTCAAAAAGAGCATCTTCCGTGAAAAGTGCTATTGGTTTTGTAAACTTCTTTGCTCTCAATTCATCTGGACCGTCTATGTCACCAGTATATTGTATTTGTACAGTACCAACAGTTGAAATACCACCCATAAAGTCTTCTGAGTCAGCAAATGGAATGCCAAGCCAAAAGTTTGAACGTCTCCATTTGTATATTGAGTTTTTTGACCTCCTGTATGAGTCCATACTTTCACATATGGCATAATAGAACTTTGCATTTCAGGGTTAATGGTTGTTGTGAAGTTGTTGTTAAAGTTCATAGCATCTAATGTCAAGTTGTATGACCTCATATCCTCAACTGTAGAATATTCTTCTCTTGGATAATATTTGCCATCTATGTTTATATGATATTTAATACCAGGGTTGTAGAAACAAGAATAGTCATTTATAGTTCGTCTGAACAGTACAAACATAGTATCTGCATGTTTCATTGCAGTTGTTAAAGCAATATCTGTTCTTGCACCTGCGGCTCCTGGATTTTGGTTTCCAACTTCACCTGCAAAGTCTTTGACAGATATTTGGTGTATAGGGAACATAAGTGGAACTGCAATATATTTGGCAGCTAAAGCATTTGAAATATCTGGGTCCAACATATAGACTGCAAGTCTGCTTTCTATTCTCTTGCATTCAAATTTTCGCATGTGAACTTAACTGGGTCCCAAGCAGTATTGTTGTCTGCTGTTCCTGAGAAGTAGTAGTTTACTTCAGTGTTGAGGTTTGAGAAACCAAAAGTCTAAGTCAACTTTCTCTTTGCACCATTTTCCAAATGGTATGCTGGCAGCCCCAGCTGTATCTGTAAGAGTGAATGGGTCTTGTGTTGGTGCAATGACTAAGTTATTTTTGCTTGGAGTAAGTTCGATAGAAATTTTTCCTGCCCAGTTTGGCAAGTATCTTAAAACCTGAAGATGAGGAAAGATGACAAAGGAACTCTAAGTTTCAGTTTTACTTGGTTACTGCTGCAGCAGTTTGTCCAGAAAGGTTAACATAAACTCCTGGAACGTTAGGGTCAAGTCTTCTTATTTTCTCAATGGTGGCATACTGGTCTGTTTGTTCTCTAGCTTGTGGTTGTACTGAGTTCTCAAAGCGAACCATTCATAGTTTGCCCATGTTACTGTTTGAACTAAGTCAGAGTTAGAATATATCTTATATCCCATGAAAACTTCTGGAGCATATTGGTATCCGACATAGAAAATTCCATTGCAACCTTCTTTTGTCAGACAACTTGGCAGAAGGTTTTATTTCAATGTCTTGTTCCACGTATAAGAATGAGTTGTCATAGAAATAATTATGAAACCTGTCGCAAGCAATATCTACTGTTGTTGAAGAACCTTCTCCAAACTCACCTACGTTTCCATAAGAAAACAGCAGTTGTATATTCGTAAGTTCCAGGAACTATTTCTGACCTTCTAATGGCATTGTCGCATTCGTTATACCATTCGGAAACATTTCCGTTCATGGCATCCAAAACTGTTGGCGTTATATTCTGAGCGGCGTACATTTCATATGGGTAAAAATATAGAATAGTTGGATTTATATGTCATAATAGAACCCACTCGGACCAAGCTTTACTTTCTTCCTGACTGAGTTTTTAACTGAATCTTTAACTCTTCTTTTTCCTTCATTGCCACTACTTTCACTAGATGAAGTTACTTCTTCACTACTTTCACTTTGTTCTACTCTTCTCTTCTTCTTTGGTGTCGCTTTTGGTAACTTGCCCTCTGCTTCAAGTTGTAGCATCTTTGCCTCATGTTCACCTAGTATGTTGTAAATTTCCCATGTCCTTTTTGCCTTTGGGCTCTCGCCCATCTCAGGTAACCTATATCCTAGAAAGATTTTGTCATAGTTTGTATTTGAGCTTCGCTTATTGTTTGCATGACTCTTTCCTGAGTTTCCGGTTCAAGCTCTTCAAACAGAGCTTGTCCAATGGAATAAGCTCGTTTCCAAATATATGTTTTGTAGCCATTCTGGTTTTCTTTCCATGTAACCAATAATATCTTTTGTGAATGGGAAAGCTTTTACCCAACGTTTCAGTCTTGCGTCATTTATTTCTGTAGTTGGTTTTATTTTGTCAAGGAACATGTTTTTCAATACTAACATTTCATTTGGTACTGTCCATTTGAGTTTTCTTAAATATTCATCCCTTCTCATTTCATTGTCTGCAAAGTAAGTTTTTATGACATTTTGCAAACTTTCGTTTGCAAGGTCATGTACAATAGGTTCTCTTCCTTCTCTCTCCCTAACTTTCTTTCTAAACTCTTCACCAAATATACCATCTCTATGGTTCTGTGTAGTTCTTTGAGATAAATGTTCTAGAACGTCAGGGTTATATTTCCCTCAGCCATGTTCATTTCATACTGGTCCAAAATATCTGCATCTTTCATATCTTTCAATGGCATTAAAGCCGCGCTGAAAATACCCGTTATATCTGGTTCACCATTCACTTCCATTGCGTCTACAACTTCTTGGAATTGAGGTTGTAAGTTTATGAACCACCTATCCGGATTAGCTTTATGACCCCATCTCATTGTAGTTCCATAGTCTGCAGAAACAAAAGTAGGTTTGTTTCCATATTGGTTAGGTTCTGAATGAACTTTAAACAATGTTTCATTTCTATATGTTTTGTTGAAATTTAACCTTTTATTTTCACCGAGTTCAGCCAAAGATTGAACGTTATATGGTCGTAAGTAAAAAGGATTATTGTATTTGCGTACATTTTCTTTCAGTACTTCCATTCTATGCTGAATATTTTCATCTGATGTTGGAGTCTTTTGTATGTCGGTGAACATTTTTCGATATTCTTCTACTATGTCAGCCGAATTTTTCTTAGACTCTTGGAAAGATTCCATATTCACCTCATACTCTTGTTGAGGGTCAAGATTTTTCGGCTGTTCCAAATCTTCATCTAGTTCTGTGAAGTTAGTTTCCAAAGGAGGGACTTGTTCGTTTCCTTCAGGCTCTTCTAGCTGTTGTTGCTGAACTATTTCTTCCATGTCTGGTTGTATCTGAACTTCTTCCTGTGGAGTTTCTTGTACCTCATCTGGTGGCATTTCATATATTCCGAGACCGTTTTTAACAAGTTCCCTATCTAAGTCATCCGGACTCATAAACCTTTCTTCTTTCGTTCCGTCTCTATTTTTTACGCGTTTCATGAAGAGAGTTGAATTATCATTTAGCTCTGACATCAAATATCTCGGAGTAAATTCATCCATGTCATTTGGATGATATGCTATTAAATCATATCCCTTTGCGAGCTTGTATTTTCCAGGTTTGAGATTATATCCGATTTGATGCTGAACCATAAAGCTAAATAGGTTCGGGTCAGTATTTCCTTCCTTGAACTTTCTAATAGCTTCTTTATATCTGTCACTAAAGTCAAGAGTATCTGGGTAACCATAATCTTCCTTAAGCATTTTTAAGAATTCTTGGTTTCCTTTTTCTCTACTTCTTTTATGTCCTTGCTCTGTTTGTGGTTGTTGTTGTGCAGGGTTTTGAACTGTTGGTTGCTGTGCAGGGTTTTGAACTGTTTGTGGTTGTTGTGCTGGATTTTGAACTGTTGGTTGCTGTGCTGGTTGTTGTTGTGGTGCTGGATTTTGAACTGTTGGTTGTTGTGTTGGTTTTGGTGCATGCCTGTGTCTGTGTCCATGTGACGATGTAAATGTTTTAGGTAGTCCTGGTGCAGGTGCTTCTCTTGGAGGGTTTGATGGTATATAAGTTCCACCAGCTGGCACATATGTTCCATCTGCAGCATAATGTCCTACCTGACTTTTCGTTTTTAAGAAAGCATTTACTAGGTCTGTTTTGGTCTGTTGTAACTCTTTTTCTTGACTTTCCACAACAGCTGCTCTAACGGCGTCATAGGCACTTTGAACTGCCTGTCTCGTTGCTGCATCTGTTATTTTCGTCATATTTTGTGCTACTTCTCTTAACTCTTTGTCGAAACCTTCAGACTTCAGTTTCTTTCCAGATGAGAAGTCGTTCACTAGTTTCACCTTACTATGAAGAGCTTCAAAGGCATTCTTAAAGTCAGCATTCATTAAAGCTTCATTTGAACTGTCTTCATCCGCTTGTATTTTTGTCCTTATTGACCCTATAAGTTGGGCTGCTTTAGCGTTGGCTTGGGCATCTAACCAGTCATTATTAGCTTTTATAATATCTGCGCTTTTCATTGCCTTTTGCATGGCTGCGTCATTATTTTTACTTTCTTGTGCTAAGTTTTCATACTGTACGGTTTGGTTTTGCAACTGTAAAAGTTTTTCTGCCTTTACATTTGCTTCAACTTCTTTTTTATACTCATCGCTATCCATATATGTCTTCATGGCTTTTTGTTTTATCTCTTCATCTTTCAGTACTTTATATTGAGTAGTATGTTTTTCAAATTTATAACATCTTGTTCCATTTTTGCTACTTCTTCTGCTTTTTCTGACACTTTTTTCGCATATTCCTCTGTACTTAGTTCTTTCAGTTGTTCTTCTTTCTTCTTTTTCTCTACGTTTAACTCATTTAGTTTCTTTGTGTGTCTGTCATATTCTAGTTTCTTTTCGTTTTCACTTATTTGTTTCTGTATGTCTATGTTTGACTTTTTGACATCTGTTATTTGATTTTTGAGTGAACTCAAATTCATTTGACTTTGAGGGTTATAAGCTGTTCCGTCTGCAGCTCCACCATAGCCTGCCATTTTCGCTAAAAGTCCCGCTCTTAAACCTCCACTCTGTGCACCAATAACTCGGTTTAAAAGCATAGGGTTGCTTGACATTTGTTGCAACATAGTGGGGTCATTCATAATTTGTTGTTGCAACTGTTGTTGTGGTGTCAGTTTTACTATTGGATGTTTCAATGCTCCCTTCCTCTTACGTATATTCTTACGTAGCTTACGTGGCATTTTAAGTGAAGTTAAAAAGCGGTTTTTGACAGATGTTTATATGACACTTTTTGTTCAGCACAAAAAACTACTCGGTCAAAGTCTTGTCAGTTTTGTAAAATAACCGTCTTATCTCATTCTATAAGGGGAAAAGGCTTCTCAAAGTATACTTCCTTGGAACGCCTGTAACTTTTCCTGTAGCGACGATAGACCCTTACTTGTCCGGACAAAGTTATACTATTTTGAGTGCTCTACAAAAAAGTCAATGGCGACGACTCTCAAAAACCGTTGCGTAAAAAGTTTTACCGTTGGACAAAAAAGTATATATAGAAAACAAAAAACGTTTATAGTTCATTCAATATTTGAGATAAACCGTTTTTCCAACTGTAACTATTAAATAAAATAACAAAATAGAGGGGGTTACCGTTGACGAAAACGGTTTATCTCAAATATTTAAATATCTGTCTTTTTTGGTCAGTTCATTTTTATCTAATGGAAGCCAACGCTGTTAACCACAATTCAAACATTAACAATTCTCAACCGCTAACCAAAGCCAAAGCCCCACAACCTCCAAGAACCGGCACAGCGGTTAGAATAACCACCAAAAAGTCTAACAGCGAATTAAGAGAAATTCTTCAACAAATTTGCTCTAAATATCTCAAAGACGCCGAAGAAAACACACAACCAGACGCTACATACAATACTCAGTTCTGTGAAGTTCTGAACAAAGCAATTACTAGTTCAATTGAACTTACTAAGACAATTCCAAGTCCAATTGAGCTTAGCGATGTCTTAGTTCAGTATTTTCCAACATTTACTAAGCTTATAATGTTGAGAACTTTATACCAAGTTCGTCAAAATCTTCCTCGTTACATCCAACGGTCATTCGACAAGAGAATTGCCGAATTCCAAGTCTTTAGTTACGGATATGACGAAGATGAATACGTTGACGAGTTCGGAGACAACCGTACAAAATGGTTTGAATGTTATACGACAACACAATTTGAATTCGACTTTCTCGAATTCAACGCAGCAACCATTCATATCATTGCTCTTTACCTTTCCGAACAACAACAAGACCTCGCAAATGGAGATGTTGTTACTGTCGTCATGAAAACTCCTGAACAATTCGGAAAAAAGAAGTCTCTAATTGCCAAATTCGTTCCAGGACATCAGCTTTTCCAACGCACAGAAGTCTTCTGTATTCCTGGAACTAAGTTCTTTGTCAGGAGCGAACTCAAAGAAAGATATAATGTGTCATTCAATTACACATTATATAATGTTTTCGACCCAGAAGAAGGCTTCTTCCCAGAAGCAATGGAGGAGGAAGAAGAGGAGGAGGAAATACAAGACTCTATCCAAGAAGAGTCCTCCGAATTCACACCAGAAGACTAACAATTTTCCGAATAAAAACTTCATTTATACTAAACATCTTCGGGGCTAGAGGGCGCAACGCGCCTGGAAGCCCCACTCACCTGACCTTATTTAGTCATATTTTGCATAATTCTAAGTAGATTTTGTAAAAAATCAAGAAAGAAAAATTTTAAGGGAGGCTTCCGACCAGATAACGTTTTCAATTTTTTGTGATGTTTACAAAAAAGTGAGATTCGTTAAGCGTTTTTCTCGTTGAATATTGAGTTTTCCGAATTTTAAGTTATTCATAAAGCACCTCTATATTATCCCCTATCTATCGATATGATTATTTTTGAAAAAGCTTGTTATGAATTCGGAAATGATTTTTTTTCGAAAAAAATCGAAATTTTCTAGGCTTTTTCTGAGAAGTTTTTTAGGCCGTTATATCAAAAAATTATTTTTTTGATGGATGATATAGGTAGAATACTATTCCAAAATTATATTTATTATAATTTTGGTCGATAAAAATAAGCGGATTCAAAACTGGCAAAAAGGGCTTCGGCAATTTGTGGACGATTCCGAACTGCCTCTTTTTTGAATTTTAATAAGAAATATAGATTCATCACTATGTATAGATATTAAAAAACTTGGTTTTAGATTCATCGTTTTTTGTAGTCACGTTTTTATTGAATATCTTATATTTTTTTATACATATATAAATATTTGGAGTATTTAAAACATATTTAGTTACTTTTTTTTCTAAGCCCTTTTCAAATATTGAAAAAGAACAAAAACATTTTTCTTTGAATGATGGTAACACTATTCACAGTGAAAAAGCTTGGTTGTAAAGATGGAACAATGATTACTATTATCAGACCATCTAGTATTTTCAAATCACCACTAAATATAAGTACTTTTGCGGAGATTTCTAGAGCTCAAATCTCAGTTCCAGATGGCGCGATTCCATAAGAATTCATTTATAGTAGATTATATAATTTTAATAACAATGAGAGTACTTCTTCTCTGCAAATGTGTCAATGCACTTTCAATTCTAGTAAAGAATGCACTAGGGATGCGTTAAACACGCCATTTGACCGGGCGTACATTTTTTTTTGTTCGCCCAAAAATTTCGCCATTTGAGAAATTCAAAAATTAAAAATAAAATTTTAATCTTGATTTTTTTATTTTCGTGATTTTTTTGAAACTTACATAAGCGATGAAATACTTTTTTTAAGTAATCGTTTATTATATATAAATATATCTTAATAAATTTAATTCCTTAAGGTAGAGCGTGTTCAAATTTAAAATCTCATACAATATTTTCTTAATGGCGTATTTTTCTGAGGTCACCCAAATAAAGGCGAATTCAAAATTGAGAACTCCAAGGCGTATGGCGAGTATTCAAAATGTACGCCACTTACAAAATATTGAATGTGGATTATCAATTTTTTGGCGTGTTCAATTTCAAATTTTGATATTTATGTTTATTTTATTCAGTATAATGCTAAGAATTAAAATATAAAATTCATAGAATTTTTTCTTTGAAAATATTTTACATTTTTATTAGACCACTCCTAGACTAGTCATCAGGTTATCCTCAGATCATCCTCAGACTACTCCTTATCAGATTACTCATCATCCTCAAACTACTCCTTAGACCCCTCCTCATCAGACTACTCCTCAGATCTTCCTCATAAGACTCCTCCTCAGATCTTCCTCCTGAGACTAGTCCTCAGACTACTCCTGAAACTACTCCTCAGATTATCCTCAGACTCCTCCTCAGATTATCCTCAGACTCCTCCTCAGATTATCCTCAAACACCTCCTCAGATTATCCTCAGACTAGTCCTCAGATTATCCTCAGACCCCTCCTCAGACTACTCCTGAAACTACTCCTCAGATTATCCTCAGACTCCTCCTCAGATTATCCTCAAACTACTCCTCAGTCTAATCCTCAGACTCCTCCTCAGATTATCCTCAAACTACTCCTCAAACTCCTCCACAGATTATCCTCAAACTCCTCAGACTACTCCTCGGTCTAATCCTCAGACTCCTCCTCAGATTATCCTCAAACTCCTCAGACTACTCCTCAAACTCCTCCTCAGATTATCCTCAAACTCCTCAGACTACTCCTCAAACTCCTCAGATTATCCTCAAACTCCTCAGACTACTCCTCAAACTACTCAGACTACTCCTCAAACTCCTCAGATTATCATCAAACTCCTCAAACTACTCCTCGGTCTAATCCTCAGACTCCTCCTCAGATTATCCTCAGATTATCACTTTACATATATATATCGATAACTAAATAATTACTTATTATACTTTCTTTATTTTTTTTAATTTTAAAATAATATTAATATATCTTTCTACGTTTAATGATGAAAAGAGAAAGAGGAATAAAAAGAGGAAAGAGAAAAGAAAGAGAGAGAGAGGAAAAAAAAGAGAAAGAAAGAAAGAAAGAAAAAAAGGACGGCGATAATTTTGTATTGTTTTGTTATTCGGCCGAATGGCGGCTACTTCGTACCCGCCATTTGGCCCCAAAAATGGCGTATTATTCTATTTTTAAACGGTCATGACGTAAAACCGTCGCATCCCTAGAATGCACAAAAATGCAAAATGACGAAATGATATGTCAACAAACGTGCGAACCGATACAAGATGATTATGAAACCGGCGAAGAATTAGAGGAAGAAGAGATTTTTGAAGAAGAAGAAGATCTTGAGAATGAAGGCGAGAAAGAGAAAGAAAAGTCAAAAACATTCCATGAAAAGTATATAGATCAAGGAGAAAAAAACATAGCACACATTTGCACACATTTTGACACTTTTTCTGACAAGCATCATTCAAATTTGAAGAAAAACCTCTAAATTTCATTCAAATTTCTGTCAAAATGTGTGCAAAATTGAAATAGGCACACATTTTGACATATGATTATTTATATACGTTATTTTAATGGTTTCAGAGAAATCTTCGTTACACATTATTGAAGATTACTCAATATTTAAGTGAATGACTCACTACCACCTGTTTAGAAAAATGGTAGCATAAAATCCAAATGTCACATATATTATTTCTTATTTCATACAAATAAACTTACAATTATAACCTCAACTTGTTTGCAAAGCAGAAACTCAATATAAGCAATCGATCAGTAGTGTATTTAAAAGTCGAATTTAAATTTAAAAATTTATAATCTTATTTCGGAACCAAATAGTATAAATTTAGGACAAAAAGCTACGTGGTGTTGATAACAACTATTAAAATTCAAATATTACTACCATGAACAATACAATGGCTCATATTGATAATTGATAAACGTGCATATAAATTGCATATATCATCAATGTCATTAAGTAAAATACATGTATATAAATATATTAGAAATATTTTTCGGTTAGAATTAAAATCTATGTAATAAAAAATAAGTTATAAAAATAAATACCGAATTTTTATTTGTAATATAAACTGCTACAATATGCTAGTGTATACAAATGTATTTGTCGTATTGATTTGAAAGATCTTCAACATGGTTCAGATCTAAATTTGAAACTCGTAAAATAAAGCGAATCTTTATTTGTAATATAAACTGCTACAATATGCTAGTGTATACAAATGTATTTGTCGTATTGATTTGAAAGATCTTCAACATGGTTCAGATCTAAATTTGAAACTCGTAAAATAAAGCGAATCTTTATTTGTAATATAAACTGCTACAATATGCTAGTGTATACAAATGTATTTGTCGTATTGATTTGAAAGATCTTCAACATGGTTCAGATCTAAATTTGAAACTCGTAAAATAAAGCGAATCTTTATTTGTAATATAAACTGCTACAATATGCTAGTGTATACAAATGTATTTGTCGTATTGATTTGAAAGATCTTCAACATGGTTCAGATCTAAATTTGAAACTCGTAAAATAAAGCGAATCTTTATTTGTAATATAAACTGCTACAATATGCTAGTGTGTACAAATGTGTTTGTACAAATGTATAACTCTTTGTCAATTGTTATGGCACCTTATAACTTAAAAATCATTTTCATTAACAAATATAAAAAGTGACAATTAATATTTTCATTAAATGCATATTTAATTATCAAAACAATGTCGATTTAGCTTGAATGTTCATTATAAATGTGTAAGTTTAGGAAACAAAAAATAATTAATTCTCGCAAAGAAACTTATTTTAAAAGAACCTAAACAAAAGTTCATATAATAATAAATCTAAAAATAGATATTAATTTAAACGAAGATAATGAGAGAATGGGGATGTTGTAAAACAATGAGACTTAATGATCAAATAATTAAAATAATAAAATTAATTAAAGGAAAGCTAAAATAGTTTAATGAATTTTTATAGATTGGTTACACAATCAATGTTTCTGTGTCAATGTACATCAATCAACATTGTTTCATTGAATTTTGTCTTCATATCTACTTATATATTACTGTTCCTGTTTCCCTTATTATTAATTTTCAAATTCTTATATAATAATTTTTTATTCTAAATGATTTGTCATAAATTAATTAATCTCATTTCCAAAAATATCATCTTCTGTAATTTCGAATTCATTGATATTTATATCATCGGATTCTTCTAATTTAATTGTAACAGAATTTGAAAACTGCTCATCATTTTTATTCAGATATTTTTCAATTTCTATATCTCGATAATCGGCCTCTCCAAATCGAAATGATTTTTTATGTTTTTTGATTATTTCACTTGGTATTTCTGCACGTTCTAATCCAAAATTAGATGTGAATACATCTAACTCTTGTTGAATTCTTGTCAATGGTATAAAATACGATTTTTTATGATCAAAATTGTCATTTTGCTGCCTTATCAACTTTCAATAGGATGTAAATCATATGATAAATAGTTGGATGTGGGAATGCAATATGAGAGTTTAACACTTTGTTAAATGACTCAACTCCATTATTGGAAAAGATCATATCAGATACTTTCAGCTTGTTAATTACATCATACTTTTTACCCCATGTATTTAAGAAATATTTTGCAAAATCATTTATTTCTTTAATCGCATCTAATTTTTTGCAAATTATTTCAAAAACTTCTATTGGAACAAAAGGACATGCACATAATAGTTTTAAAAGTGATTTTGCGCAAACATCGTTTTCATCACATAACTTTTTGAAATTTTTAACAAGAGCTGCTATATAATGAAATATACAACCAGTGACTGTAGTTTCATCATTGACTTTAGATTTGATTGATTTCATTAATGCATTCTCAAAATCTGATGTAATGATTTTATATTTTCCCAATGATATACTAATAAGAGGACATGTGATCATTAAATTAAAAACTGTATCATAGTTAAGTGATGATCTTCCTGTCATTAGTACATGAAGGAAAGGTAAATATAAATTTGTAGCTTCATCGTATACTAAAAGATTTAAGAGCTGCCCATTTGCTAACTTAATTGGAACGATACGAAATGTTCCATCTATGAAAAGATGGTTGCAAGTTTTAGCTCTTTTTATAAAAGCTGGCAACCCGAAGAAATAATAGTTAGTATCATCTGAACTTGAGTAATATTGGGTTATATAATAATCTGTGCTGTTATACTTTTCTAATAACTTCTTAATTAATTCATTTTCGCTTAGTTTGATTTTAGGCCTGATCTCGTAGTATAGCTTTGCTATTGTTTGAGGTGAAATATCAATAGTATCATCATGTGAAGAATTGTATTCAAATATGAGTTGATTTGAATATTGTCGAGCTTCAGCTAGTGATAACAATGGATTATTTTGAATATAAGTTGATATCATTGATTCGAATTCATACCTGATTTGATGTGTTCCATTGATTTCAATCGAATATTTCGATTTGGAGCAGTTGTGTGGAGGATTTATTTCGTGGATTGACGCTTTTATATTCGAACCAGCTGGAAATAATGATATAATTTGTGAATAACCACATTTTTTTTCGTTTGGCACAATAATAGTGTAACTCTAAATGATCATTCTTGCAATAATAACGTTCAAATCGTAATGGAATACCTTGAGGATATATCGTTTTCCTATAGGCAAGTTTGTCAGAGTCAGATATACTAAATGTATGATAAGTACGTAAAATATCACTAATTTTTATTCTCTGGGCTTCTTTATCATCTTTGTTCAATATATTGTAGTTTGCAACACATTGTTCGCAAATGGTTTTGGAAAGATTATATTGACTCCTTTTGTCGGAAATACTTTGATATACTTTCGCATTATCAATAATAATTTGAGGGTTAATAAAGTTATCAAAAGATAAATTATCAGTTATATGTGGTTGTTGTTTAGGAAGAGTCTGAGTTGGAAGAGATTGTTGTTGTCTCTGTTGAGGAAGAGTCTGAGTTGGAAGAGATTGTTGTTGTCTCTGTTGAGGAAGAGTCTGAGCTGGAAGAGATTGTTGTTGTCTCTGTTGAGGAAGAGTCTGAGTTGGAAGAGATTGTTGTTGTCTCTGTTGTGGAAGAGCTGGCGCTGGAGTAACTTGGATGTTTACTCTATTTACTTGTATAAAATTAGGAGGTAATTTGAGGATTGCTTGCCGAGATTTATTATTATTTGATTTTGGTTTCAATATGCGTCCATTAATATTTTGATGACCATCAGTAATTTCATCATTAATATTTAAATTTCTTTCATTAATGTTTTGATTAATATTTGAATGGCTATTAATCGTTTCTCCATCAATATTTGAATTTCTTTCATTAACGTTTTGATTAATATTTGAATGGCTATTAATCGTTTCTCCATCAATATTTGAATTTCTTTCATTAACGTTTTGATTAATATTTGAATGGCTATTAATCGTTTCTCCATCAATATTTGAATTTCTTTCATTAATGTTTTGATTAATATTTGAATGGCTATTAATCGTTTCTCCATTAATATTTGGATTCCTATTGCCAATTATATCATTAATATTAAGCGCGTTTCCTGATTTAATTTTATCTGATTTTACATCTTCAATGATATCATATGAATCATCACTTGATTCAACATCGCTATCTGCTTTAAAAATCCCTTCTGCTAATACTTCTGTGTATTTTTTACCATTGCTATCTGTCCTTATTGCAATCATTTGACCTTTTATATCACTTCTTCTAAATTCTCTTACTTGTTTTAATAAGCAATTAAGTTCATATCCATATTCTTCGATTGAATCCATGTTCAGTATTTTCATAGCAGTATCAATGTCATTTCTGGCTGAAAACAATGCAATTTGTGAAATATCCATATCATATCCACATTTTATTAAATCCTCCAAATTTGATAGTTTAGTTGAAGAAATTATTGGATTGTCAAATAGTTTAGAGGCTTTTTTGACTCTTTTATTTCAATTGTCATATCTGAATAATGTTTAACATAATTAAACAATTGTATCTTCTTTGAATCTTTTTGTAATATAAAAGTCTTTAGTTTAAGATGAAATACTTTGGAAGCATATAGATATAATGATAGACAATGTATTTCTTGAGGAGTATTGACTTTTTTAATTTTATTTCCATATTTGAGCGTGATAACCATATCAAAAATGAATAACCTTAATTTATAAATCTGAATTTGATTTTAATAATAAATAATATATATATATATGTAATTCATGAATTATATTTTTACACTTCATTTTACCTGAACAAATATAGCTGATATCAAATAACAATTTAATATAGAAATTGAAATTGTTATATATGCAATGTAAATACACATAATACATATATTATAATTTATCAATGATTATTGTCTAGACCAAAATTTGTAGATGGAATTATGCAATTTCTCAATTTAAAGTCCCAGCTGTTTGTATAACAACTTCATATTGAAATTTACTAATAAACACGGTAAGTTTCATAATTTTTATTATGATGATCTTACATTTGATTAAAATCGACGATTTTTCAATTGGAAAATAGTGCAAAGTAATAAAGAATATATTTAGCAAATTTTAAATTTTTTTCAAAAATTTTATAGAAAAAAGGACTAGCAAAGATTTAAAGGAAATTTGAATAAACTCATAGAATTTTTGAAAGAAGAAGGGAGATTTGAGAGGATTTTTGGTCAGAAAAATATAGAATTAAATGAATAATTGGGTATGATAAGATAAGTGAAGGTAAAAGATAATTTTAGTAAACGAAAACGTGTAAAGTTGAAGCAAGGTAATATTTTAATCATTTAAAAAAGAAAAAGAGGAAAACTTGTTCTTGAATCTTCTTGGTGAAAGACAAAATTCAATGAAACAATGTTGATTGATGTACATTGACACAGAAACATTGATTGTGTAATCAATCTATTGAAACTACAAAACTTTGTTCTTGAATCTTCTTGGTGAAAGACAAAATTCAATGAAACAATGTTGATTGATGTACATTGACACAGAAACATTGATTGTGTAATCAATCTATAAAAATTCATTAAACTATTTTAGCTTTCCTTTAATTAATTTTATTATTTTAATTATTTGATCATTAAGTCTCATTGTTTTACAACATCCCCATTCTCTCATTATCTTCGTTTAAATTAATATCTATTTTTAGATTTATTATTATATGAACTTTTGTTTAGGTTCTTTTAAAATAAGTTTCTTTGCGAGAATTAATTATTTTTTGTTTTCCTAAACTTACACATTTATAATGAACATTCAAGCTAAATCGACATTGTTTTGATAATTAAATATGCATTTAATGAAAATATTATTTGTCACTTTTTATATTTGTTAATGAAAATGATTTTTAAGTTATAAGGTGCCATAACAATTGACAAAGAGTTATACATTTGTACAAACACATTTGTACACACTAGCATATTGTAGCAGTTTATATTACAAATAAAGATTCGCTTTATTTTACGAGTTTCAAATTTAGATCTGAACCATGTTGAAGATCTTTCAAATCAATACGACAAATACATTTGTATACACTAGCATATTGTAGCAGTTTATATTACAAATAAAAATTCGGTATTTATTTTTATAACTTATTTTTTATTACATAGATTTTAATTCTAACCGAAAAATATTTCTAATATATTTATATACATGTATTTTACTTAATGACATTGATGATATATGCAATTTATATGCACGTTTATCAATTATCAATATGAGCCATTGTATTGTTCATGGTAGTAATATTTGAATTTTAATAGTTGTTATCAACACCACGTAGCTTTTTGTCCTAAATTTATACTATTTGGTTCCGAAATAAGATTATAAATTTTTAAATTTAAATTCGACTTTTAAATACACTACTGATCGATTGCTTATATTGAGTTTCTGCTTTGCAAACAAGTTGAGGTTATAATTGTAAGTTTATTTGTATGAAATAAGAAATAATATATGTGACATTTGGATTTTATGCTACCATTTTTCTAAACAGGTGGTAGTGAGTCATTCACTTAAATATTGAGTAATCTTCAATAATGTGTAACGAAGATTTCTCTGAAACCATTAAAATAACGTATATAAATAATCATATGTCAAAATGTGTGCCTATTTCAATTTTGCACACATTTTGACAGAAATTTGAATGAAATTTAGAGGTTTTTCTTCAAATTTGAATGATGCTTGTCAGAAAAGTGTCAAAATGTGTGCAAATGTGTGCATTTTATCCATCTCCAGATCAAGAATTAGACAAGCATTTGTTCAATTGCTACATTCACGGAATAGGAATCCAAAAATATTTCGACATATTAACATATGCAGGAGTGAAAGTACCATCTGTTGATACATTGAATAAGAGACAAGCTGCTCTCGGTCCTTCACTTGAAGAATTTTGTTTAAATCGCATACAAAAATACATAACTGATGATATGAAAGCAGCTTATGACTGTGCTTGGACTGGAAGAAGAAATGCTTTTTCATCTTTTTCAAGTTTGGCAAATATTGTACTTAATAAAATTTGTGGTTTTCGAATTGTAACAAAATATAAAATTGATGGATATAAAACTGTAATTAGTGATCCTGATATAGAAGCCAATATGATGGAAATCACTGCTCTTAATTCTATTATCAATTCTGACATTTTTCCAAAAATTCATACTTTTGTATCAGATGGTGATGTAAAAACCAATACAGCATTAAATCATTCAAAAACCTCAATTCAAATTACAAAGGATTCTAATCATTTAATCAAAAATGCTTTTAATAAATTTAAAGATCAATTGCATTTTTTGGAATCTCAATTTAGAATCATATTTGCAGACAATACACTTACAATTGAACAGAAGGTACAAAAATGGCTTGACACAAAGAAAAAGTATGTAAATCGTCAAAATTATTCCGAAATTTGCGAAACAATTGATGCTACAGCTTTCTTATTTAGATGTATTAGGAAAGGTCTTCATACAAACTTTAATGAGAGCATTAATGCACTCAAGGCCCGATTAATTCCAAAATTTTCATCGTGGTCAATCGGTTTTGTCATTAGAATGTTTGTCGTTGTCATTGCTTATAACGAACCAAGGTGGAAAGAATTGCTTAGAACAGAATTTTTCAAATTTGATATTTCAATGTATGACGAACAAATTCAGAACCGTATCAAAAGAATTGAGAGCCGCTCAGAACATGTTCGGAATCATCGTGCACAAAAAAAAAACCAAAAAACGAGCAATTGCAGTTAGGTGGGCAAGAAAGCATAAAGCAAACGTTGAACCTGGGGCAGAAGCTTTTAAATCTCCTAAAAAAGAAACAAATACAATTAAAATTGCACATAAGAAAAAGGATTTAATTGGAAATATTCCAATTAAAGATTGGAAAAGAAAGTTCTTTTTTATTACTAATGTCGCATTAGATAATGTTGATTTCCAAAGTGCTGTTTTATCCATTCCATATTTGTACGTACGTTTTTCAAAAGATTATAAATACGCAGTAATTTTGATCAAAGATTATAATGCAAGCATGATTATTGATTCTTCAATCTACTTGTCAATGGGTTTGGAGCGCGAACCTCTTGATGACGAAGTTGCCCAGAAAGTTATTGAAAATTGTCCAGTTGATTCAGGTCTGGTTGTTTTCCCAACAAACAAATTTGTTGTATCAAAATCCCCAACTTTTAATCCTGGACTCGATAATTTATGCAGAAATTGCTTTTTAAATGTTATTATACAATTATTCACATTTAATGAATTCTTAAAGATTGAGTACACAAACATATTATCAATGATACAAGAAAACTATTCAACTCCAGATCATCCAAACCAAAATTTACAACTGGCTCAAATATTCGCAAATTACATTCATCGTCCAACCGATCAAATTTCATCAGCTGTACATATCTTAGACACCCTTATTTCAGATACTCATTACCAACCAAAAGAGGATGAAGATTTTGTAACTTTGGAAAATCCAATTGAAGCTCTTTCACTATTTGTTGATAAATTAAGTCAAATTCCAGTCAATAATATAGATATAAATAGTATGATAAAAGGTTTATTCTATATAAATCCCGCTCAAATCAAAATTGAAGTATGTGATGGTAAAGTTGAAACCCAAATCGATAATTTTCCTCCAATTTTATTCGCAAACGTAGTTAATACAAATCAATTTTATTTACCTTTACGTTTTGACGAACATCCGGAATTTTATTATGATTTGGTCGCCGTTATTTCAAATCCGGAAGATCATTTTACCATATACATGAAAAAACAAATTCAATATGGTATTATTTCAACGATCTCAATTCAGATTTCGTAAGAGCAGATTTTGTATATAAGCTCACAAGAAAAGAAGAACGAGTATTTTTGTGTGTCTACCAGCAAAGACAATGTATCGTACAATAATTATTCAATAAGTGTGGAATTCGATAAAAATTTTTGTAAAAATTTATAAAATTTATCGTGTAGTATAAATTACAAAGCTTTTTAAAAGTAAGTCTCTTTTAGTATCATATTCTGAAAGGAAATTGGACTCAGAAAATCTTCTAAGAACATCCTAAAATCAATCACCCTTTGAGTGGCTTTCATAATATATCTAGATGATAAACCAGAAATTGAACCCGCATATGGGTCCCATTAGGATACATTGTAAACTATTCAAAAATAGTTTACAAAATTAATTTATGTAATAATAAAATTTTTAATTGAGATAAATTAAAAAAAATCTTAGGAGAATGTTATGGATTTTCTTCATTGAACCATTCGATAAATGAGCATCTTTGCGAGCCATTTGTGTTCGAGAGTCTTGTACCATAAAGGTGGCATCTCAGCAGTTGAGCATCCCTTCAATGCATTGATATCTGTTGATGGAACAGAGTATGCGACTTCATCATTGACCATGATCCAATATGCACTTTTTTGCAAAAAGACCACGTAATGAAAATTGCAATAGGCAACAATTGCAATCAATTGATATCTTTGCCTTTCGACTGTTGGGAGTGTCAACTTTTTCGGGAAGTCAAAGATGACTTGATGAATCGAATCATTCTGCCACTCTCTCTGAATGTCGAAAGTCAAGAATTGTGGCCATGATGTGTTCCTTGTAGTTGACAAATGATATTGAATGGCATGATCGAGATCTGGTTCTCCAATTCTGGTGTGAATCGAGTAGCAATTTGTTTGTTCGTTGGCACTATCACGGTAAGTGATTCGGAAGAGTTGACCGATTCCTGGTATTTGCTCTGCGAGATCTGTGATCAATCTTGTCATCGTGTCATCACAATCTTGTGCCTCATATGTTGAGTTCCCAAGTAATGTGGCAAGTTCATGGGGAACGAAGACTAATCCTTTGGACTTCAATGAATTCAAATTTGTAAAGATACTTGACATCTCTGTTACGATGGGAGAGGACTGATTGGCAACCTTCAAAACTTCTGTTCTCACTTCGGATATGTAGAACAGAACCTGTAAACATACGTTCAAATGACACGTATTTCCCATATTATGAAGACCAACAATACCACCTTTAATTGGGTAAAGGTAGTTCGCCTCTTGTGATGACTGTATGATATCGACAGCTTGATGAGCGACAGCAATGATGTTCCGCTTTGATGGTTTCATGGAGGGTGCAACAACAGCAGCGACGGTATCGCTTGAAGGAAGAACCTTTGTTGGTGTAAAATCTTCGAAAAGGAGTAACTCTTCATTATCATTCAGGGGTGATCCATCAATGTTATAATTTGTCAAACCGACTAAACCTGATATGATCAGAGGAAGTGATGTGCGCTCACCTCGAAAACCATTTTTCATGCAGGACCAGCATGACTTGAAACGTGCAAAGAAACGCTCGACAATCTGCCTGTCTTGGGCAATGGCGTTGTTGCGTTCAACGTCTGCTTCTTCGTGGCTTCTCTTCATCACCACGGCAGTAAGGTGATATTTCTGGATTCCAATATAGCCCCGGTCGGCAAGTACAGGATATTGGTAATCATCAAATCCTCGCTTTACTGTCAAAAAATCCGAGACTTTTGACAAATCGAAAATCTTCTTGTCATGGACTGCAGCCATAAACTCAACGTTTTGATGTATGGCTTTTCCATCTGGTGACACGAGGACTTGGAGCTTAATACCGTTGCAGTGGTTTTTTTCATCCCAACTATAAAGCCTCTCTTCCTTTACCGAAGGAATGTTGAAAGGAATTGTAGTGCTGTCTACAGCTGCAACAGCATCAGGGAAGTTTGTAAATTTGTTCTTCATTGAAGTTAACGGTGGACAGTGATTGGGAAGAAAATAGCTCGCAAAGATTGGAAATGCAACATTGGTAGTTCTTGTAACTAATTTGGAATAGCATGACTGGGAAATATGTAGCAACGGACATAATGCTGAATAGGGCAAGTATGTGCAGTAATATGTGAGCGTGAGGAAGAGAGACTCGATTGTTGAAAATTTGACCTTCCTTCCTCTTCTGGCCCTTCCACAGTTGGATTCAATAATGTCAGCGAGGTATTCCAATTGTTCATATGTGAAGTTGCACAATGATCGGAGCTGGAGCTTTGGATGCATCCTGATGAATATTGAAATCGAGAACCTGGGCATTGGATTGGTCAATGTCATCTCTTTTGCCTCTTCTTCATTTAATGGCTCTTCATCTGTGTCGGAATTCTCAGGTGTAACAGTAACAACAATGCTCGCCCTTCTGGATTCTTTTATCTTGGTGATGATATCTTCATCGCATGGTTCATCCATGTTGATAAATGAAGTGATTAAAAGATATAAAAATCTTATCAAATTTGAAATAGAGTTCAAAATTAATAAATAATGAAACCCAATCAATTTAATCATATCTAGATATCCTAATATATATCATTTTAAACTTGAAATTAAGAAACTGTGAAGAATTAAAAAACGTTTAAAATCTTTCATACAATTTAATCATATCTATATATTCTAGTATATATCATTTTAAACTCGAAATGAGTGCGGGACATATTTGCCAAGTGTCATTTTTCAATAACCTTAAATTACGCTTTTCTAATTTTTAAAAATAACCTTAAATTATATTTGAAGAAATTATGTCTATGATATATGTTTTATGCTAGAATCTTGGAGTTTTCATGCACTACACAAGAGCTCCAAGGTTCCAAGAGTGAATGCTCAATAGCAATTATAGAGATGTACCTTTTCAAAATGACTTTTACTGATTAAATTTAATCAATAGAAGACATTTTGAAAAGGTACCTCTACAATTCGATATACAAGAGATTCAAAGCTTCATTTCAGATAGATTTGAAACTTTGAAACTCTTGGTAGATTTTGAGTGAATGCTGACAATCATCTTTGAGAAGGTTTTCTTTAAGAAAACCTTCTCAAAGAGGTTTCTCAGGAGCCCTGAGGCTCCCTTTCGTAATGATTGGGAGCCTTGGGGCTCCTGAGACGAAGAATGGCTTCGCCGAATCTTTGATCAGCAGAGGCCAAATGAAAAGGCCTCTGCTGATGGATTCTCAGGAGCCCTGAGGCTCCCTTTCGTAATGATTGGGAGCCTTGGGGCTCCTGCAGCAGATTATCGCTCCGCTCCATTAATTTTTTTAAAAAAGTGCCGTGTGGCAAATTTGTCCTGTTCCCTAGCAAAAGTGACATTTGGCGCCAATTTTAAATTAGTGGATTTTGTGTTTATTATTTAAAAAATATAAATGATAAAATATAATTAACATTAATAGAATAATATGGGGCGGCGACAAATTTGCCCAGCCAGTAAAGTATTCAATTTTTTTTTGCATTTTTTTAAGGGTGCACACGAGAGGATCATGTAAACTTCAGAATTTAGCTTCTTAAGGGTGCACCCGTATGTACGTTTATTTGAGAGGAGGAGGATTACCCTCTCAATTTTGAGGGATTCGTTAGTTTATTTTCTCGATGAATATGCAATAAAATTTGATTTTTACCTTATCAATATACTTCATATAATATACACATGTTCATGTAAAAACTTTTTTCCAAAATCCTCATGAATTAATGGATTTTTGAATTTTAAGAATTTTTTTCGAATTTTTTCGAAAAAAAAATATTTTCAGAACAGCCTTAACGGCTAAGATTTAGGAACAATGTTAAGTATCAAAAAGAAAGGAGGTCTGATATAGACAACATATATCGTTGAAGGTTGAAAAAATCTCTAATATTTGAGCCCAAAATTTCAAATTTTAATTTTTTGAAAAAAGAGGCCACCCGTATGTACGTTTATTTGAGAGGAGGATTATATTTTTGAAAGGGTGAAACATTGGGAATATGTTAATTATATAATAATATGTATTATTATAAAAAAGAAAAAATAAAGCACGTTAAAATTTTTCTTTCTTGATTTTTTACAAAATCTACTTAGAATTATGCAAAATATGACTACATAATTATAAATTTCAAGTTAAATTTTAATTTTGATAAATAATTTAAATTTCAAAATGTCAAGTTCAGTTCGACTATGTATGTCGTAATTCCTCAATAAAGTGCCAAAACCCTATTAAAATATATGAACATTTTCAACATTTTAATGTTTTTATTTAAAAATTTGATGGAATATGAGCTTCAAACAATTATTATGTAAATAAAAATAATTAAATATATGTATTTATTCGTATTACAACCGTAGTAAGTCGATTCTTCCTTTCTTCTACTGAGGTTTGAATTTGATTTCGAATTGTAAAGAGATTCAAAGGGAAAATACTAGCGAATAAAAACTACCTCCATGAAAGGGTTATAATGGACTCAAGTTGTATTTTTTGATATTTTTTGCTTTTCGAGCCTAAATAGGTAGCCAAGATAATGCCTAAAAATAAGGTTCTAAATTCTGAAGTTTACATGATCCTCTCATGTGCACCCTTAAAAAAATGCAAAAAAAAATGTAATAAAATAAAAAAATTTTTAGTATCGATAATCTGAAATATGTTGTTTACTTAAGCCGCTCGCTTCGCTCGCGGCTTAGTTTCGTAATTTCATACAATCTTTTTTCGAATCTGTTCTTTTTGTCAACCGCGAGCGAAGCGAGTGGCTTTTTATTTTTTAATTTTTTTTTCTTTCTTATTTTTTTCCCCCTGACTTACAAATTTGATAGTAACTTACCAAATCTCTCTATCATATAATAATAAATTAATCCATTTTTTGTTTCAAATCCGACACTTTACATTTCTGACATGCAAACCTGTCACTTTTCACTTCACCTCACTGGGTAAGTTTGTGCCCCTCTCGAATAATATGGATGAGATTTGATCAAAAACAATCATCAATTTTTTTTGGGCGCCATATAGAGAACTATAGTCTGCGAGGTACTGATTCTATCCATGTACCTCGCAGACGAGTGGGGGACAAACTCGCCCATTGTCACTTTTCATTAACCTTAAACTTGTAATTTTCATTATTTTTAATTAACCTTATTTCTTTCCCAATTCCTGATTTATTTTATTCACTTACTATTAAAAGTCACATTTTAATAAAATATAATAATTTATTTATAGCATTTTTTACTATACTGTAATAAAAAATTAATTATAATAAATTAAATGTTTATTAAATCAAATGTTTTCTTTGCAATAATATTTTTAATGTTGAGTAAACAATGTTGGGATCAAGTGTATCATTTTTCAGACCTTTCTGAACAGCTTCAAGCATACTGATGCATTCGACTTTTTTAAATTGTGTCATTTCTTCGAAATCTCTTGTGACTTTTTTGATAACTTTAACACTTCTCTCTGAATCCAGACCTTTAATTTGCAACTTAATCAGGAATGAAGGAACAACACTGGAATATAACTCGATGACAAGTTCATCGAGTCGAAGATTTGGTTGTACACCACTTGTATGTGCCGGATACCATTGTGTCAAATTTTTTCTGAAATTAACTTTAAAAGTACTAAGTAAGATCATGAGATATAGCAATATATGTTTAAACCAACTTATATTTTGGTTGTACACCACTTGTATGTGCCGGATACCATTGTGTCAAATTTTTTCTGAAATTAACTTTAAAAGTACTAAGTAAGATCATTTATTTTTGCATAATATAATGCCAATATGGTTTCTTTTGATTTTATTTCATTTATAAGCAAATCAGATTTACCCAAAAACTCCACTCCATAAGCGTTCATTTGCTAAATTAAAAAGTGACAATGGGCTAGTCTGTCCCTTTCTCCCTCGCAGACCATAGTTCTCAGCCAAAATGCCTCTAAAATTTGTATACCTATAAACTCAAACTTCAATATATTCAATTTTATTTTTATAATTAATTTAAATATATCCATATAATTCTAATGTTTTCTTTTAATTTAAAAAATAATAATAATAATTAAAAATAAAAATAAAAATAAACTTTTCTATAATATTTATAAAGCTGATTTGATATATAACACATTTAGCTTAACAAAATAACTTAGAAAAATTGCCGCGCAAAATAATAGTGAGTGTCACTTTTTTGTCACTTTTTCTAGTGATGCATTTCGGTACGGAACAATATAAAATATCTTTGTATTTTGATTACATATTCTATATGTGGTATTCCGCAAATCATATTTCATATTCCATATGTGGTATTACATATTCCAATAAAAGGCACTTAATGTGTATTTTCTAATTCAATTAGATTTGCACATTAAGTGCCTTATTATTATAATAAATTTAATATGGAATAAGTCGAGTTTATTCCAATATACGAGCTTATGCTCATATGTCGGGTTAAAATCTGGCGTTTGGCAATGTCGCAAAACGCCGATATGCTAATTCCTAAAATTTTTTTATGAAAAAATTCTTTATTCGCAAAAGGTATAGTATTTGCTCATTAATGAACATATGCGAGAAATTCCCAATGTTTCACCCTGTCAAAAATATAATCCTCCTCCTCTCAAATAAACGTACATACGGGTGGCCTCTTTTTTCAAAAAATTAAAATTTGAAATTTTGGGCTCAAATATTAGAGATTTTTTCAACCTTCAACGATATATGTTGTCTATATCAGACCTCCTTTCTTTTTGATACTTAACATTGTTCCTAAATCTTAGCCGTTAAGGCTGTTCTGAAAATATTTTTTTTTCGAAAAAATTCGAAAAAAATTCTTAAAATTCAAAAATCCATTAATTCATGAGGATTTTGGAAAAAAGTTTTTACATGAACATGTGTATATTATATGAAGTATATTGATAAGGTAAAAATCAAATTTTATTGCATATTCATCGAGAAAATAAACTAACGAATCCCTCAAAATTGAGAGGGTAATCCTCCTCCTCTCAAATAAACGTACATACGGGTGCACCCTTAATCAAAGGAGAAATACTCTAAGGTAGAGCAGTTGGATCACTACTCAACCACAATTTACTTTTAACCATTTTTTGAATTCTTATTCAAAATCAAAACGCATTTTTATATAATTCTCTTATTTATTTTAATTTGATAATATTTATTGATTATATTTCAGATCACTCAATTAAAAAAAGCCGTCTTTCTTTCAAAATTTCTGAATTATTATCCTTTCAATCTTAATGAATAAAATCATATTTATTCTTGTTTAAAACACTTCATTTCTTTAATTGTAGTGTTGCTTACTGCAACACTTAAACCAATTGTGGATTCCATTGAATGGCCTTCAATGGAATTCACAATTGGTTTAAAATTAGTTGATGCATATCCTATGTATGGTCCTAATATGGTCTGGCCAACCATATTCTAGTTGGAAATACATAGGATAGTATCACTAATCAATACAATACATAACAAAGTTAAATGCGAAAACAAAATCAAATTACAAAATCGTGCAAAACAAAGAATGAATACAAAAACACCTATCCACTGAGGCTGGCCACCTCAGTGCATTTCGAATAAACATACAAGTATATACAATTTAAAAAAAATGTTCCGTACCAAAATGCATCACTAGAAAAAGTGACAAAAAGTGACACTCACTATTATTTTGCGCGGCAATTTTTCTAAGTTATTTTGTTAAGCTAAATGTGTTATATATCAAATCAGCTTTATAAATATTATAGAAAAGTTTATTTTTATTTTTATTTTTAATTATTATTATTATTTTTTAAATTAAAAGAAAACATTAGAATTATATGGATATATTTAAATTAATTATAAAAATAAAATTGAATATATTGAAGTTTGAGTTTATAGGTATACAAATTTTAGAGGCATTTTGGCTGAGAACTATGGTCTGCGAGGTACATGGATAGAATCAGTACCTCGCAGACTATAGTTCTCTATATGGCGCCGAAAATTTTTGGTGAAATGTCGTCGCATTTCACCAAAAATTTTCGGCGCCATAGGAAGAATTGGAGGGTGTGATATACTATTACATGCTATAGTACTCACACCCTCCAATTCTTAGCCAAAACGGCTAAAAATTGCTCACAATTTCAACAATTGTGAGCAATTTTCAGCCATTTTGGCTGAGAACTATGGTCTGCGAGGTACATGGATAGAATCAGTACCTCGCAGACTATAGTTCTCTATATGGCGCCCAAAAAAAATTTATGATTGTTTTTTATCAAATCTTATCCATATTATTCTATTAATGTTAATTATATTTTATCATTTATATTTTTTAAATAATAAACACAAAATCCACTAATTTAAAATTGGCGCCAAATGTCACTTTTGCTAGTGATGCATTTCGGTATGATATGCAATTTAAAAAATATTTTATAATTTTTACAAAGACAAGAGCAACTATGTTTTCCAACTAGCTCCCTTCATGATCTTTAGCCTAGCGTCCATTAATTCCTTACTCATGTTTAAATTTGAACAAGTTAAGATGAGACGCTGGGCTGAGATTGTTCTTTCACAGCTTGCCTCCGCACAAGTGCAGCAAGTTATGCGGAGGCATATATTTGCGAACAATCCCCAATTTTCATCATTGATTTTAAAATTAAAATCAAAAATGTCCAAGCCACTTACAGTTCTTGATGTTTTAAAGATATGATTGTTATTGGCAATAATATCTTTAAATAGTTTAACTATATCATCAATCACATCATCACTACGTCCTCTTTTTTTGAGTTTGCTTGTGAACCAGCTAATTGCAGCATCAACCATCTGAGAATCATAGAGCTCTTCACCCTCAGTATCATCATTACTCTCATGAACTTCTTTCTGCTCATGAAGATCTTCATTGAATCTATTAAGATCCTGGGCTGGCCAATTGTGCTTCAACGAGGGTGCTGGTGGTTCGGTGTTTCCTTCTGCTTCAGCGGCGGCGTCTCCCATGAAGATTTCCCTGACATCTTCTATCGGGTCTTCCTCTTTCTGCCGGTAGTAGAACATCTTCACGTAGCCGCTTGTTGGGGGAGGGAATTATCTGCTATTGATACTGTTCCTAGCAAACATGAGGCCTTTGGGTGTAATGATGTATGCAAATGCCCAAAGGCCTCCCATTTGCGAATGAATGGTCTTCTCAAGCAAGATGTCCCTAAAGATTCTGGCGAATCTGTTGTTTTCGGCATCCAGCTCTTCCAGGGCCTTCATTGCATTATAGATGCAAGGATAGACCCTGGAAAGTGGAGACTTCGGGTCTTCGAAGATCAGGACCAAGCTGGCGAAGATGACGGAACACTTATAAAGATCTTCTGTTCCGTCAGGAATGGAATGGAATAATGTCACCTTCGCCCGCTTGGTCCAGAAAAAACCAGAATTTTCGAAAAAGTGACACCAACTATTAAAGTTATTTTATTACTAGATTTATTTACAAATTATAAGATAATATCATTAACCGAATATATTTTTAATATAAATAAAAAACTTTTTTTATACAAAAAATTACAATCAATCGATAAATATTATAAACCATTTATTCCAAAAAGATTAAGTAATAGGTGGGATCCTGCATATAATATAATTTTATGTCATAAAGTTTACAAATTTTAGATGGACCACAGTGAGAATGTGAGTGGTTAATTTAAAGGTGGTCTGATAAAGATATCGAAGCTTACTCAACACAGCATGAAGCAGTTTCTAATTCACAATCTTACTAGTGGTGTTTCGGTCGCCAGCGCTCTCATAGGGGTGCTGATTTCAAAAACCACTACTTCAAATTATTCAACAATACCCAATGCAGCATGAAGCAGCTACAACTGCTGTATCTTACTGGTAGTGTTCTTCGCTTCTTACTATCAACTCTAAAACTAGTTTGATGTATTATTTATTCAATATTAACCTTAATTATTTACAATTCTCACTTTTTTATTTTTTAAATGAATCAATCCGTTCCTGCACCCCTTGCTGATACAAAACAATATATTGATTTCATTCATTATCTTCAATATGGAGTTCAAGCAGAGATGCGTGCTAACTGCAATTATCGGAAAGATTCGCATTTGAATTCAGATGGAGTAACAATTATTAGACATTACTGTAGATGGGGAAGTTGTAGTGCTAACTTTACCTTTGAAATGAAATCTAATCAATACAGATTTGTAAATGGACATCATTTTCATAATCATGTTGGTGAACCACCGTCTTTTAAATATTCACCAAAGAGTATTTTTCTCAGACCTTATCTTCAACAGTATTTTATTAGTGGTGGTAAAGTTGCTGATGCAATTTCTTGTTCATATCAAGCTCTCAATATTCCTTTTATTAATAACTATGTTTTCTTTTCTTATGATGAAAATACTCTTCGGCAACTCAAAAAGGAACTCACAGAACAGATTTTGCAAATGCCGAAAGGCAGTAATCACTATGGAAACTTTCTTGATGTTGTTAACAAATATAAAAGCGAAAAAATAAACACTCCTTCAGCCAAAGATTTATTATATCATGAAATCGATGATGTAGATAATCCAGTTGATTTTCTCTTTGTATATGGAGATTGTCGTATCAAGGATTTGTTATATGAAGAGCCTAGGATGTACCATATCGACTCTACTTTCAAAATATTATTTGAAAAACTTGTTTTATATATCATTGCTTGTAAGTTTGAAAAGACTCATGCCATTCCACTTTGTTATTTTATTGTAAAACAAGATAATGAAACTTCTATCTCAAAATGTTTGATCAAGTTTTTTGAATGGTTTGAAAGAACTCCATCCAACTTTATGTCAGATTGTGCCCTCCAAATCTTTAATTCAATACATAATACATTTCAAGAATGTAATATCTTTTGGTGTGCCCTCCATGTGATGAGGGCACTTCGTAAGAACTTATACAGAATTCCAGACGAAAATATCAGGGCCGATGTTGGATAAATATATGAATATCCTCTGCTACACAATGCCTATGAATATGGAAAATGCTAATCAGTTATATGAAAAAATAATAAAATTGATTTTGCCTTATGATGATTTCAATAACTATTTCCAAAGACAATGGGCTAAACATAAGGAACAATGGATTTCTGCATTCAAGGAAGATTCATTGACTCTTGTTAATAATATATCAGAGTCTTTGTTCAAAAATTTTAAATACTATGAATTTGGAAATGTGAAAAATTTAGCAATTGACAAGTTTGTTTTTCTTTTATTAAATCGAGTCAAAGAAAATTACTTTCTCCGCATTCAACAAGATATTAATTTACATCAAATTGTCCTTCCACCAAGAAATTGTGAAATTCCCGAAATATCAAATTATGATAAACAAAAGACAGAAATACAATCAAAAATACAACATCTTTCAAACTTATTGAAAAAAGGAGAGATGTATCTTTTACCTTTATTGAAAGAGTTGAATACATTGGTTACTTCATTTGAAACAATGACAAGTATAAGACAGAATGCAATCATCTTTTGGTCCAGTCATGGCGTTGAAGGTGATTTAATGACAGAAGTACTGGAGTATATTGATAAAATCTGCAGTGAAAATTCATTATACGAAGTTATTGATAATTGGAATTCAATTGTTAATGATATCAATTCACAAATTGGAATCGAAGATCAGTATGAAATTTAAAATATAAATAAATTTTAATTATATTATTTTTAATTTTTTTAAATAAATATACATATATAAATACATACATATATACATATATACATATATCATATATACATATATACATATATACATATATACATATATACATATATACATATATACATATATACATATATACATATATACATATATACATATATACTATATACATATATACATATATACATATATACATATATACATATATACATATATACATATATACATATATACATATATACATATATACATATATACATATATACATATATACATATATACATATATACATATATACATATATACATATATACATATTATACATATATACATATATACATATATACATATATACATATATACATATATACATATATACATATATACATATATACATATATACATATATACATATATACATATATACATATATACATATATACATATATACATAATATATACATATATACATATATACATATATACATATATACATATATATATATACATATATACATATATACATATATACATATATACATATATACATATATACATATATACATATATACATATATACATATATACATATATACATATATATATATACATATATATATATACATATATACATATATATATATATACATATATATATACATATATACATATATGTTGCATGCTAAGTTCGGTCAACGATAGAAATTGAGTGGAAATTAATCGTCGAGGAAGTACGATTATGTAAAGTAAAAATGTTGTGGGATTTTTAATATAGGGTGTCCAAAGGTGTGTTTAGCACAAACCTGAATACTGCGAATAGAAATAAACAAGTTACATATATATAAAGTTTATTTAAATATAATCACCATTGGATTCAATCACGCGTTCGCAGCGATCGATCCAGGCTTGAAAGACACGCTTTAAATCATCATGAGAAAATTGCTCAAATTGCTCTCTTACAAAATTTTCAAGATCATCTGGACTCGCGAATTCGCGTCCTTCAGCTCTCTTTTTTAGCGTGCCGAATAAATAAAAGTCAGAGGGTGCAATATCAGGTGAATAAATTGGGTTTGGAACAACTTTGACATTGTTTTCCACCAAGTAATTCATTACCTTATGACTTTTGTGAACTCTTGAATTATCAAAATGAATTGCAAACTTTTGTTTTTGTTGTTTGGATTTCTCAAACTCATCAGAATTGATAATTTGAGTAAGAACATTGTCAATTAGATACTGAGCATTCATCGTATTAGGTTTTTGAAGAATATCAATTGCGATGATGCCATTCACGCCCCAAAAAACCGACAACATCATCATTGGTGTGTCAATTTTTTTCTTCGGGAATGTTTGCGGATTTTCATCCTTCGGGATCCACATGATTTTGGCTTCTGTTGCATATTGAAACCAAGACTCGTCCCCTATTACTAAAAAGCGAAACTTCTTGGATTGATACGCACCCAATATAGAGAGGAGCTCTTTCGAAGATTGGACTCTAGATTTTTTGAACTGAATTAAGGTTGTGCGGAACCCAACGTGTATACGCTAGTTTGTAGTTCAAATAATTGTGCAGATAATAACTGACTGTTGTACGTGGTATCTTTGTCATCTCCTCTATCCTTCTGAGTGATGCTCTTGGGTCTTCATCTAGCGCTTGAAGAATTGCTTTGATTTTTCTTTGATCCGGCGATTTTTTGTCAATTTTTATGATGGGCGCCTTTTTGTTCATGAAGTGATACATCCTAACATGATACGTTACAGTGGAATAGCTAGGAGCATCCATACCGAAGCATTTTACCAATGTCTCGTAGACTTTTTTACAGTCTTTGCATTTTTTTGCAAGAGCGAGGATGTTTTCTTTATGATTCATTAAAAAAATGAAAAAAAATCCCGCCAAAATTTCCCGCGAAACCGCCTCTTGTCTCAAAATTCATTTTATATTCCGGCATGGCGCCAAAATACAACTTACTCATCATATACATATATTCATATTTTTTATTATATATTTATAATCAGCATATATCTCCTTTAATAGTCTCATATAGAGCGCTGTGCTAAACGCACCTTTGGACACCCTATATTATATATTATTTTATAATAAAATTTTTTTGAGTCATTTTAAGAAGCACATATAATTTTTTGAATTTAAAAATTAAAGTAGTGTCAAACGAATTTATCACTTAATTTAATACTCAGATTTCTTAAAATTAATGAAAAAAAGGTTTTCTGAGAACTTTTGAGAATGGTTTTCAAATTCCATTATTGAAAATATATAGGTATTGTATGAAATTCAAACTCTATAT